AACTGAGCACCAAAAGGGAAACCTGTTAAAGTGAAATGAACACTATGAGAAATGGTGACTTGATCAGCCCACACCCTGACTGTTGATGAGCAACTTAATATGTTATCCCTCTTAGAATTTTTTTGTTTGTTCTACTTAATACTCTTGGTTGAATACTGTAATCAATACACAACTATTCTTAAGTGCTGAAACTTAACTGAAAAGTGATCGCTGTTAAATATAAGAGTGGGAATAAGAGAGGGAAGAGATGTGCAATTCGGGACATGCTTAAGCTGACTTACCTCAAACGGTAGAGTTAGAAACATACCAGGGGATTCCAATTCAATCAGAGTCGGTGAACTCAGGGGGCTTCCATAGCCTTGGCAGCTTATGACAAGAGCCTAGGGTGATTACTGATGCCAGAAACAAGAGTGTCAATTTGTTCAGTCAACAACAGGAGTCACTGTGCACTTACTCCTCATGTAGGATCTTTGGACCTAGTGTGCTGTACATTGAGATTTAATGCGATAACTAGTACTCAAACAGTATTTTTCACTTTATGTTTCTGTGTGGGAGCAAACTGTTGAAATCTTTACTTAATGTATGCTAAACTGATCTTCTGTATCTAAAGAGAATCGAAAATGAATCTTGATGTGAATGGAAGGGGAGAGGGAGTGGGAAAGGGGAGGGTAGCGGGTGGGAGGGACGTTATGGAGGGGAAGCCATTGTAATCCATAAGCTGTACTTTGGAAATTTATATTCATTAAATAAAAGTTAAAAAAAAAAACAAATTTATGTGGGAAAAAAGTACACATAATAGATGCTCAGAAAATATGAATATTTCATACTTCTAAATTGTTAAAAATTCTTTAAGCATGTGTTTACATGATTTTGTATGACACAATTTATAGTGTGTATTTTCATACTTTAATTCACATGGTACTTCACATAGTAAAATACTTTACACAAACATCTTTTTTTTGCTACACTGTTTTTATAACTAGCTTGATGTCTACATAAATTTTTTCATCTTTGACTTTTGAATTTGCTTTTAGTATTTCCTCATTTTCTAGATGCTACAATATGTAGTGTTGAATTTCTACATATGTGAATATCTACACATAGCTTTCTGATCTATATTACAAAATAATGTTGGATTTCCCTCAGACATGGGATTTGTGGCTCAAAAGATTTAGCCAGCATATGTTCTGGTGATAAAATTATTTTACAAAAGGAATACGAATTTTACTTTAAAGGTATTCGAAACTTAAGCTTCAGGATCTATTTCAAGAGAAAATGTGTCCTGCTTCCCCCGCAGGATCATTCTCTCCCTTTTATTCTATCCTTCATTATTTGCTTACACTGGTCTTATTTGTGAAATCTCTTCGACACTTACCCTATCTTTTTTGATCGGTTGTGTATTTATATTTATCACTTTACAGCAGACTCATAGAATGGCAAACGCCCAAAACAGCACTCCTGCCTCAGAATCAACCCTTGGGACATTCGGAGCTGGCTAAAAGGTTCATGAGAGTCTCACAGGCATGGAAAGCCATGACACGGTGGCCAAAAAACAATCTAAATGAAAGATCCTGGTGAACAAGACCCCAGCAGAAGGAACAGGCCATCAAGGAGAGAGGCACCTTTCTCTGAAGGGAGGAAGGAACCTCCACTGTGATACGGCCTTGACTAAACAAATTCAGAGTTGGTGAACTCAAGGGGCTTCCATAGCCTAGACAGCTCCTAGCAAGAGTCTCGGGTGATTGCTGACGTCATAAATAAGAGTGCCAATTGTTAAATCAACAACAGGAGTCACTGGGTACATGCTCCCCACGTAGGATCTCTGTCCTTAATGTGTTTTACTATGAAACTTAAAAACAACACTACTAGTCAAACAATACCCTATACCTTGTGCGGTTGTGTGAGTGCAGCCTGTTGAAATCCTTGCTTAGTATATACTAAGTTGATCTTCAGTATATGAAGGTGATTGAAAATGAAACTCGATGAAGGGCGGGATGGGAGAGGGAGTGGGAGAGGGGAGGGCCGCGGGAGGGAGGGAGGTTGTGGGGGGGGAAGCCACAACAATACAAAAGTTGCACTTTGTAAATTCACATTTATTAAATAAAAAAAGAAATTATAAATTAAAAAAAAGAAAAAAAAGAGAAAATGTGGAGTTTTTTAAGGGGTGCCGATGACTTGCTTATGCTCTAGGAAGACACTGGAACCAGCTCATTTCTTGCCTTGATACTACTGATGGTAGGTTGGTGGTTGGCATTTGAAAGCAGACTTCCTGGAAGGTTCCAGTGTTGGGACTTAGTATATCAGAGCCTTAGCAAAAGTGCTTTAAGAAGCAGATATCCACACTGTGGGCAACAGGGACAATTAGGATGCAACTTTAATAGGTATAAATTGAGTAGAAAAGGTTGAATGTCCCTTACCTGATTTTGAGTGAAAAAATGTTTCTGAAAAGAATTTAATCTTGAATTTTGGAATATTTGCATATACATAATGAGATATTCTAAGGATAAGACCCTAATCTAAACAAATTTATTTTTGTCTCATTCAAACCTTATACATGTAGCTGGAAAATAATTTTAGATAATATGTTTAATAACTTTATGGATGAAATAAAGTTTCCTAGTGTGGAATTCTCTGTGACATCACATTGGCAATCAAAAGCTTTTGGGTTTTGAGGCATTGCAGATTTCAGATTTTCAGATGGAGGATGCTTAAAATGTACTCTAATGGAAAGATAAGGCCAGAGGTTATGTGAGGTTTAATCAGCTAAAATTTTCTATGGAGATTAGGTTCTCTCTTATATTTTTTTTAAAGAAAGATGTTATTTTAAATGCAAACTTCTAGGTCTTCCCCAATTCTGTTCCCAAGGCTTATCCGAAAAGTCTCACTAAATAAGAGATATTTTATTCAATCAATTTTGAATTCTAGAAGTGCTTATTTTTTTTTTTTTTTGACAGGCAGAGTGGACAGTGAGAGAGAGAGACAGAGAGAAAGGTCTTCCTTTGCCGTTGGTTCACCCTCCAACGCTTATTTTTAAAAAAATATTTATTTATTTATTTATTTATTTATTTATTTATTTATAAGACAGGGTTACAGAGATTGAGAGACAAAGACACACACACACACACACACAGAAAGAGAGAGAGAGGGAGAGAGAGAGAGAGAGAGAGAGAGAGAGAGAGAATCTTCCATTTGCTTGTTTACTTTCCAAATGCCCACAGTAGTTGAGATTGGGTCATGCAAAGCCAGAAGCCTAGAACTCTATCTGGGTCTCCCATGTGGGTGCCAGGGACCCAAGCACTTGATTCATCCTCTGCTGGTTTCCCAGGTGCATTAGCAGGGTGTTGAACAGGAAATGGAGCAGCTGGGACTTCCATAGGTACTCTGATATGGGACAGGGGCTTTGCAAGCAGCAGTCACACTCTCTGTGCATCATTGCTGGCCCTCTCACGTTTTTCTCATATAAAATGACCATGTGGAAACTAGATTTGAATGTTAATTCCAATAAACCTAGCCTGTTCCTTCCCTGAAATGTAGGGGAAGTGAATCCTTTGGCATTGCCTTCTCCTACTCCCTGCCATTTAGGCATTGGTGTTGGTATTTTGCATTTGAAAGGAGTTAATTTTATTTCTCCCAATATTACTTCAGGTGAAGATTTTCTAGGTCCCAATTAAGAGAGTTTATAAGGGCTTATACCACGAAAATCTTCACATATTCTAAACATGTATGAAAAATTCATTACCTGTAAAATAAAGATCATACTGGTTCTTAATATTGCATTTTATTCTATGGTATATTCTCATTAAAATAATATATTTTTCAGTGATGGACATGAATGTATTTTTTGCAATGGTAAGGACACACATTCCTTGGAAGAGTGGTAAAATTCTCATTGTACCTTCACATGGCAGCATGCTACTAATCTGGTTAAAAAGAAAAATTCTAATTTACTCCTAATACTGAATATTTCATCTATAAACAGAGCATTTAATTATATCTTCTTGTGGATAATTTTTGCAAACATCAAATGATGAATTATACATAGTTTAATTTCTTCTCCTTAGCTCAGACCATTTTATACCACAAAATTTGCTGTAATATTTTGTTTTATGACAATTGAAATTTGTGCTCATTTATCAAGCACTATAATAAGACCAAAATTCATATATTACTGTTATAATGCTAGACTAGAGCCAATCATTTTTAGTAAAGACACAAAGAAGGAAAGTTTTTATTACATGGTTTACTAACTTTAGACATGAGAGTACAATATTGTAAGATTTGATTAAGCAGTGTTCCAAAGAGTGCTTGTCGTTTGCTAAGAGTTTTTGGTAGGTTTAATAGTTTCAACCAAACTTTCAAATGGCAGAAGTAACTTTTCCTTCCTTCTTTATTGTCACCTTTTCAAAAAAAAGGAAAGAAAAGAAAGGTGAAATTTCACAATTTGGTAACAGTTGTTTCATATATATGGGAGACTACTACAAAGTGGTTTTCCAATAAGAATAAAAACTTCAACTGGAATTTATTTTAATTAATGGGGTTTTAGTAAGGCATTGCACACCTGGGAAGGCAGGAGGAAAAATGTTTTTTTTAAAAAAGATCTATTTATTTATATAAAAGGAGAGCTAGAGAGGCAGAGAAAAAGAGAGAGGGAGAGAGAGAGATTTTTCTTCCCCTCGTTCACTCCTCAGATGGCCTCAATAGTTGGAGCTGGGCCAGGTTCACCAGTGCTTATCCCACTGCACCACAATGCCAGCCACAAAATAGCTACTTCCACCCATCTTGTAGGCCCACTAATGATTTCAGAAGATGAGACAAACATTAACTATTATAGATCTTGTGTCATAGGTAGAGGTAAATAATTGTATTGATTCAAACATAGGAGTAGGTCTTTCACCTTCTAAAATTGAATTACATTCTTTGTGCTTAAAGTTAAGAACTTGGTAAAGCTTACATTCTTGGCAGCATAATCTTAGCAGTTTATTCCATACTTTTTTTTTTAGTTACAGATGATGCAACTTGCAAAACATTCCTGAAACATGAAATAAGAAGAATAACATTTAAATGAAACATAACCATTGTACCTCTTTAACAATCAAAGTGGTTTCATTGCACTATCTTTTGTCTATGTTTGTATCTTGTGGAAAATATTTGGTAAACCAAAGCAAGTAAGAAGAAATAGGTGTTTTCCATAGTCATTACTCTTTGCAATGGGAGTGCTGAAATTCAAGCATATCTTTTTTGGAAGTGCTGTTGAGTTTAATAGAGCATTCCAAATACTGTATATCTTCCTTCTGATTCCATGTTGCTTGACCGCGAATTTCAGAGCACCTCCTGTTATCCCAAATGTGCCCTTTTTGTGGGCCTGGAATGCCCCAACTGAACTTTGTCTTGGAAAGTCTGGTGAACCACTAGATACGAGCCTGTTCTCTTTATTTGGAAGTCCTTCAAAAGACAAGACAGGACAAGGCATTACAATATTCTATGTTGATAGACTTGGCTACTACCCTCATATAGATTCGAAAAACGTAAGTGTGCATGGAGGAATTCCCCAACTGGGGCCCTTACAACAGCATTTGGACAAAGCTAAGAAAGACATTTTATATTATATGCCAACAGACAATGTAGGTTTGGCTGTCATTGACTGGGAAGAGTGGCGGCCCACCTGGCTAAGAAACTGGAAGCCTAAGGATATTTACAGGATTAAGTCTATTGAGTTGGTTCAACAACAAAATCCACAAATTAATCTTACAGAAGCTACCAAGCTAGCCAAAATAGAATTTGAAAAAGCAGGAAAATGTTTCATGGAAGAGACTTTAAAGTTGGGAAGATTATTTCGGCCAAATCACTTCTGGGGTTATTATCTTTTTCCTGATTGTTACAACCATAACTATGATAAACCCAACTATAAAGGGATCTGTTTTGATATAGAAAAGAAGAGAAATGATGATCTCGACTGGTTGTGGAAGGAAAGCACTGCCCTTTTCCCATCCGTTTATTTGAAGAGCAGCTTACAGTCTTCTCCAAAAGCTGCATTGTTTGTCCGTAATCGTGTACAGGAAGCTATTAGGGTTTCTGAAGTACCTAATGCTAAAAGCCCACTTCCAATTTTTGTGTATACTCGACTAGTTTTTACTGATAAAATATTTCAGTTCCTTTCTCAGGTGAGTACATCAAGTTATCAAGGCTATGAAATAGTGTCCAGAAATGGTGTTGAAGACAGTATCTTTTTAAAAAAGATTTATTTTATTTACTTGAAAGACAGTTACAGAGAGAGGTAGAGATATAGAGAGAGGTCTTCCATCTGCTGGTTCACTCTCCAGTTGGCCGCAATGGCTGGAGCTGCACCGATCCGAAGCCGGGAGCCAGGAGCTTCCTCTGGGTCTCCCACACGGGTGCAGGGGCCCAAGGACTTGGGCCATCTTCTGCTATCCCAGGCCACAGTAGAGAGCTGAATCACAGCGCCAGCCCCAACAGTATCATTTTTGAAGTGAATTAAATTTTAACATTATTTAGAAATAAGAACACAAATAGTTCTACATCATTACATCATCATGTGAATGCAAAGCAAGAATGTATTTCATCCTTACAGGAATCATACAATCTCTTAGTGACTTTGGAAGATTAGGTAGAATAGATAATAAATTAAACCAGCTTCTTTTTTTCTTTTATGGGTCTGCTCTCTTGTTAATAAAAGTAGTGAAAATAATAGTCTCCAATTTTTTATACTAAGGCAGTGGCTGAATAAAGTAAACAGTGGAGGAATATTTGCTACCTTAGGGTCAGCTTGCTTAGGTTTGTGTTATTGTCCTTTTCATTTTATTCTTATTTATTAGCTCTTTTTATCATATTTTCCAGGATGACCTTGTGAATACAATTGGTGAAATTGTTGCTCTGGGGGCCTCTGGAATTGTAGTATGGGGAAGCCATACTTTAGCACGAAGTATGGTAAGTTTTATTGGTAGGAAGTAGGTGAAATGCTTTTGGTGATTAAGGGAATAAGTGATATGGTTGGCACGTGATAGTCAATTCTCAATGTTTGACTCAAAATATCTGTCTTTGTGTGGTTAAGTTGTAAGATAGAAAACATTGTAACTGTGAGGTGGGCATTTAGTGATTAAGATGGTCATGTTCCATGTCTAAGTATGTCAGTTCAATTCCTGGCTCCAACTCCTGACTCTAGCTTCTTGCTAAAGCAGAAATCGGGAGACAGTATTGCCAACCCAAGAAATTTGGTTTCTCCCACCAGTATGGGAGACCTAGATGGCATTCCTGGTTCCTGACTTTGTCTCCTGCTCAGGTGTTGTGGGCTGGAAAAGTGAACCAGAAGATGGGAGCACTCTCTCTCTGTCTCTCTGTCTCTGTTTCTCTGTCTCTGTCTCTCTGTCTCTCTCTCTCTCTGTGTCTTCCTCTCAAAGTTTAAAAAAAAAAAACACTGTACTTTTTTCCAGTAAGGAAACAAAAACTCAGTGATATTAATATAAATTCTCTAGGCTACATAGCTATTTAGTTGCAAAAATAAGATTACAATCTTAATTTTCAGACATGGTATTTGGGGTTAGAATATAGATTTCTCTGCCTTTATTTCCATTCTCATTTAATTATCCAGATCGGATCTTTAGTTCTCATCTCTTCAATCCTCTTGACTGAGTGCAAGAGTGCAGCTGTCATAATTGCTGTCGAATTGGAGTTGAACTTTTCCTTCTCTGATGGATGGGCAACATTAGTGATAAATGTGCCATGGAAAATGTCAAGTGAAACTCATAGCCCTGGGGTACTATTCTAGGAGCTGTAGAGAATAAACCTTATACTGTAGACTAGAAGAGATGTTTTTGAGGATTATATTCATCCCTTATCACTTATCTAGAGTAGCTGTATTGGTTTTTTTTAAGATTTATTTTATTTATGGAAAGGCAGATTTACAGAGAGAGAAGGAGAGACACACAGAGAGATCTTCCATCTGCTGATTCATTCCCTAAATGGCTGCAACCGCCAGGACTGGTCCAGGCTGAAACCAGGAGCCAGGAGCTTCTTCTGGGTCTTCAACATGGGTGCAAGGATTCAAGCACTTGGGCTGCTTTCCCTGGAACATTATCTAGGAGATGGATTGGATGTGGAGCAACCAGAACTGAAACTGGCACCCATATGGGATGCTAGTGCTGCAGGTCACAGTCCAACCCCACTACACTGCAGCACTGGCCTCCTAGAATAGCTGTATTCTCACTTCAGTTGGAAATACATAACAGCCATCACATTTGTGAAATTCTTTCAAGGTCACTTTAGGTTCTTTTGTCTATTTTTAAAAAATAATTATTGTCTCTGGTTTGATCTGCAGTAAGAAGGAATTACTAAAAACATAATGTCAGATAAATATGCCCCTTTGTACAATATTCCATATATTAGAAAATTTTTTTAGGCTTATAATTCTAAGTATATTCCTAATTTGTTTTACTTGTTTTCCAAAATCCATGAGTTTTTCTTTCAAAGGTCCCATTAATTTCATGAGGGAACACTTGTAAATTCTACATACCACTTCCTTTTTTCTTTCTGAAAGAACTGAGAACTCCACCTTTAACTGTGATAAAGAATGAATCAGGAATCTTCCAATGAGTAGGATGATGTGTTCAACTTTAATATGACAATTTTATATTTGATGACACTGTTTAGAACTGTCCCCTATAGACTTTGTTCAATGTTTTTCTGCTACTTTTCTTAATTTATGTTCACTTTTGAATTCAATAATTACTTTCCCCCTTTGCTATGTAATTTGTAAACATTAGATCCATGAATTATTTGTCATGCTTCCTCTCATTCATTGACAAGTTGAAAAATTGATAATTCCAGGCTCACTTGGAGTTACTGGGAGTTACCAGTACTGACCTAGACAAATTAAGTAAATCACTTCTTTCCATTCCTTTTATTAGACTCAGGTGTATGACAAAGACAGTTCTACTAGTCTTAGCTTGTGAGATCTGATTGTTCTATCAGGAATTTTGTGAATCAGCTGTTAAAAACAGCCAATATTAAAACTTAAATTATAAAAGCTTAAAGTTAAAAAAAGAAAATTAATAAATACTCAATACATCAATTATTTTTTTAAAGATTTTATTTATTTATTTTAGATGTAGACTTACAGAGAGAGAGACAGAGAGAAAGGTCTTCCATCTGTTGGTTCACTCTCCAAATGGCTGCAATGGTCAGAGCTGGGCCTGACCAAGCCAGGAGTCAGAAGCTTCTTCCAGATCTTACACGTGATTGTAGGGGCCTAAGCACTTAGGTCATTCCCCACTGCTTTCCCAGGCCATAGCAGAGAGCTGGATAGGAAGAGGAGCAGCGGGGACAGAACCAGCACCTATATTGGACACCAGCGCCGCAGGTGGAGGTTTAGCCTACTAAACCACAATGCTGGCCTCAATATATCAGTTATTTTACTTCATTAAGCATTGTCTATGCACCTGAGTTTATTTACATCTATTGCATCTTATAAAGGAAATACTATCAAATGGCATAGCACTCCATACCACACTACCATACAGTGTAAGGGTGGTGTACCAACCTCAATTCTGCATGCTGTGATGTCAAGTTGGAAGCTAGAAATTGGCCATGATAGGAGCATTTACACCATAGATATACAAAGGTATTTCAAAAAGTTTATAGAGAATGTGTATTATGAAAATCTATGCTTGGATGTCAAACATTTTTTATGCAAAATGAATTTGGCTTTCAATTATATTTTTCAACACACTTTTTAAAGTACCCTTGTAGACACAAATACTAATAAATCAAACTACATTAAAAGCCAGTTTTAGATTTTTCATAAATAATATTTTATGTAAACTAATCTCAAATCATTCTCTTTACTTTTGTTTTTGCAATATCTTATCTCTGGGGGTTTGAGTAAGCAAGTGCAATATCATCTGATCTTTGTACAAACTCTCACATATACTTGGTACTAGGAAAATAGTGCTGAAGAATATTGACAAAGTCTATGCATTCTTGGAGCGTGTGAGTGATTAGAAACAATATGTAAACAATGAAAACATTTTATTGTGATAGGTGCTTATATCAGTGAGCTTTTTGTTGCTACAGTGAGATACTGGAGGCAAGTAACTTTGTAAAGAGTGAAGGTTTATTCAGCTCTAGTCCAAGGTCAGGCAATTGTATTGGTTTGGTTTAGGATAACGGATGGAAATGGTGGGGAGCAGGCTGAGAAAGGATCCCTTGGTGAACTAAGAAGCAGAGAGAATGGCTGGACCCCCACATCAGTCTTTTATAAAACTTTCTCACAAAAACTACCATCTCATCACATGCTTTCAATGACCTAAATACCTCCCACTAGGCCCCACCTCTGAACATTATGAGAGGATTAAGTTTTCATCCTCTTAGTACCATTAACTTAGGATTCTGAGGTTTACAACTCTGCAGGAATTCAGGGATCAAATCATATGTAAACAATTGCAGTGCTATAAACAGAGAAAGGAGCATCCCAAACATGGGAAGCCTGTCCTGCTAATGAAATAACTATGGTGTGTAAGATAGAATTGGTGGCCGGCACCGTGGCTCAATAGGCTAATCCTCCGCCTGCGGCGCTGGCACACCGGGTTCTAGTCCCGGTTGGGGCGCCGGATTCTGTCCCGGTTGCCTCTCTTCCAGTCCAGCTCTCTGCTGTGGCCCAGGAGTGCAGTGGAGGATGGCCCAAGTGCTTGGGTCCTGCACCCGCGTGGGAGACCAGGAGAAGCACCTGGCTCCTGGCTTCGGATCAGCGCGGTGCGCTGGCTACAGCGCGCCGGCCGTGGCGGCCATTGGAGGGTGAACCAATGGTAAAGGAAGACCTTTCTCTCTGTCTCTCTCTCTCACTGTCCACTCTGCCTGTCAAAAATAAAATAAAAATAAAAATAAATAAAATGATAGAATTGGTGTGGGAGGATTGGATAAGAGAAAGAAGGGTCACACTGCATACAAGTAAAGATTAGTTCAGTTTTATTCTAAATGCCATGTAAGAAGATGGATAGTGTATTAGTTTTCTATTACTTTGCTTCCATAAAATTACAACAAATTGGCCAAAACAACAGAAGTTTACTTCCTGATAATTCTCTATATCAGAAGTCCAACATGGGTCCCAGTGGGCTAAAATTATGGTGTAGGTAGGGTTGCAATCCTTTCTGTGACAGAATCCTCACTTGCTCCTTTGGGATGTTGGTAGATTCAGAGCTGTATTGTAGCAAATGAGATTTCCATTATCTTCCTGGTGATTCACTAAAGGCCATTCCTTCTCCTTGAGGCCCCTACATTCTTTTTTTCATGGCCTTCTTCATCTTTAAGTCAGTAGTGGTGGACTAATACCCTTGTACACTTTGAATATCTCATTTTTCCTCCATCTCATCTTTCTAATTCAGTTGGGAAAGTTTCTACACTTTCAAAGATTCATGTCATTTTATAAAACCAACCTATATATCTCAACATTATCTATTCTTCTCAAGGCCCTTGTTCAGATCTGCAAAATTTATTGTCATGTAAGCTAACATAGGCATAGGTTCTGGGGGACTCAATTGTAGAAATCTTTAGGATGTCATTTTTATGTAAATGATAAACATTATAACCTCAAAGAAGGTAACAAGAAACAGAGTCAAGTAGAAATTGCCCAGATCCCTTGACTTGCCTGCTGACACCCACTTCCTTTGATCTGTGAAGACTAGCACAGGCAGCTCACTCCATGGATCTATTGATCATGAAGAAAGAAACTATCTTCAATGTTTTAAGAAGACAGTATTCAGGTTTTAGAACATACTGCTTTTAAGAGGAATCATTTCAGCTACTCATCATTCATATTCTGCCAGAGCTGTAGAAAAGTCATCATTATTCACATATAATTTGACTCTGTGATATTTTATATAAAAAATGTACTCAGTTGAGTCTGTTTAGCTGTTTTAAGCTGGTAATTTAGAAATCCTTTTTGATGCTGTTTAAACTTGTCTGACAAATGTCACATTCATTTCATTTATTTGTAATTTATTGAGGTTAAAGTTATCTGAAAATATGCTGGGCCCTTTGTTAAGAGTATATGCATTGGCCGGTGCCGCGGCTCACTAGGCTAATCCTCCGACTTGCGGCGCCGGCACACCGGGTTCTAGTCCCGGTCGGGGCGCCGGATTCTGTCCCGGTTGCCCCTCTTCCAGGCCAGCTCTCTTCTGTGGCCAGGGAGTGGCCGTGGCGGCCATTAAGGGTGAACCAACGGCAAAGGAAGACCTTTCTCTCTGTCTCTCTCTCTCTCACTGTCCACTCTGCCTGTCAAAAAAAAAAAAAAAAAGAGAGAGAGAGAGAGAGAGTATATGCATTGTATCTTTTGATTTTCACAACAACCCTGTAAGATAGGCTCCAAAATTATCTTTATTTTAATAGATGATGAAACTGAAGGATAAATGAATGGATTGATTTTACCTATGTCACCCAGAAAGGAAACTAAGGATTAGAAGGATTAGAAGGATTTAAGATTTCCAGGTTCATATAGCTAGTCATTAATGGAACTGAGACTCTGATTGGGACAAATGGACACCAGAGCCCATACTCTAACAACTGTGCCATTCAGTCTTCCTGATTTGTTTGGATTAATGAGGAAGATCAAGGCTAGGACAGGTTAAGCATCAATGAATCACTTATTCAGTGGCATGAGATGACACGTGAAACTTAAGAAAAGTTATCCAAAAAAGTTGGAATAATCTTGCTTGTTAAGTTTAAAAGGATACAATACTTCCTAATTCTTACTCTGTTTATTATTCCTTTAAAAATTTTTATTGCAATGAATTAATTCACACGTGAACTAACTTATCCTCTTGATATTCTTCTTATCTTATAATTTTATAGAAATCTTGCCTGAACCTAGATGATTATATGAAGAATATACTGAATCCTTATTTAATCAATGTCACCCTAGCAGCCAAAATGTGTAACCAAGTGCTTTGCCAGGAACAAGGAGTGTGTACAAGGAAAAACTGGGATTCAAATGACTATCTTCACCTGAACCCAGGGAATTTTGCTATTCAAATTGGGAACAATGGAACGTACAAAGTAGATGGAAAACCCACACTTACAGACCTGGAGCAGTTTTCCAAAAATTTTCAGTGCAGCTGTTATACCAACTTGAATTGTAAAGAGAGAACTGACATGAACAATGTTCAAACAGTTAACGTATGTGCTGTTGAAAATGTTTGTATAGACACCAATGTAGGCCCACAAGCCGTTACTTATGCTCCCAAAGAGAAAAAGGATGTTGCTCACATTCTAAGCAATACTACATCTATCAACTCGTCTACCACCATGTCTCTACCTTTTCCTAGGAAACATGTCAGTGGGTGCCTCCTAGTTCTATGTATGTATTCACAGTATTTGAAATATTTGCTATAGGCTTGTGGCAATTAGGAAATACAACATTGGATATTATCTTAAAAAATGAGTCCTATGCTGTTTTATAATCAAGATTCTACTTTGAGTTTCAAAAGCAACATATAGCATAAGTTTTGTCAAAGATGGACTAGAAGACCTACCAGCACATAGGGGACTAGTTTTCTTCTGAGAAAAGTGAAGATTTGAATAAATCCATGTTTTTGAAAATGAGTATCTTTATTTTTAATTTGTTATAAAAATGCCAAGAAAATATTAAATTGAAAGCTTCTATTTTTTAAAAGGTAATAATATCCTAAGTGTACCAGTGTGCCTTGAGTAAAAGGCGAAAGATTTATACGATCTGAAGAGAAACCAGAGTATGTGTGCCTTGAGTAAGAATAATGTTTTTCAGCTACTTCATCTTAGAAACTAATTCTAGCTATGTTTTTATGAAACAATAACCTTTAGAAAATGATTGCTCTGTTTATTTTTGTCCATGATTTAATATGTCTTACATTCACATCTGTAAAATATTCCAATTTTTATCTCACTCATGATTGTCAAATGTAACTTTTAAAGAGATTTATTTATTTATTTATTATTTATTTAAAAGGCAGAATTACATAGAGAGAGAGAGAAAAACAGAAAAAGAGAGTGATCTTCCATCTGCTGGTTCACTCCCCAAATGACGGCAATGGCTGGGGCTGAGCAGAGCTGAAGCCAGGATCCTGGAAATCCATCCTGGTCTCCCATGTCAGCCATCTTTTGCTGATCTTCCTGGTGCATTAGAAAAGAAGCTGTATTGGAATTGGGACTCATATGCGATGCCAGTGTCACAGGCAGCTGCTTATCAACTGTGCCACAATACTGCCCCCCAAATTTAATCTTGTGTACTTAAAATGCTTGTGTCATTTAGTCACCCATTAACTTGGCCACTCACATCCTTCACCATGTTTACTTAGAGCTTTTTCTCTGCCAGGCTTGGTATTAAGTACAACAGAGTCAAGGTGAAGTGACATGCTTCTCTTATCAGAGTTTCTTGCATACTTTGAGAAGACAAACATTGGGAATAGAAAGTTACAACACAGCATGGGGCAAATGCTGTAAGTTTGGCAAACTCTGGCATATAACTAAGAATTTGGGTGTGCCAGAGCCTTCCAGAAAGAGCTGCTATGTGTGTGAGTTGCCTTAAAGGCTGAAAAGCTGTTAGGCGGTATGAGACAGAAGAGATAGCAGAAGGATGGAACACTGAACATGGTTATGATAGTGAAATAAAGTAGGTGGTGGCTAAACAATGAAAGTTTTCATAAGCCATAGTATGAAGTTATGATTTACAACAAAGTCACCCTCAGACCTTTAGACCTGCCCTGTTTGTCTCCACCCACATATCACAACAGGGTAGATGTATCTATTTTCTCTCCATCACTCCACAATAGTGTAAATATCATGGGGACAGGCATTTGGTCTGTTTTATTTGTGGCTATATCGATAATGTGATGAGCAGCACTTGGGACTGAAAGGTGCTCAGTAAATAGATGCTGAACAAATGAAACCCAAAGAGGACTTACTAAACGATTTTGAGCATGAGGATCGTCATGGCCACTTTGGATGATTCGGGAAATTTGAGATCAAATGCTGTCCTTTTCCTCTGCGCTGTATCCTTCACCCTTCACTCCAAATAAGATTCTCCTACCAAAGTTATGTTTTCCTAAGTTAGCTATGAAAGAAGACAATTTGATAATGACTTGGCAAGGATACTCTATATGGACGGTTTACTTAGAATACTTCAATGGCTTTCAAGTAAACAGTGATCAGGACTTAGAATGGAGGCAGCCAGGTGAATTAGAAAGGGAATGGGTTTCGGAATTGGACAGTTGCAAGAAAAAGTTCCAACTTCTAATATTTATTACCTACATGTCTGTGAGAGTTAACCTGGCTCAGTTTGCATTCACTAAAACCATAATTATATATATTTTAAGAGTTTTAGAGAATTTTGAATTATATACTTGCCAGTGAGAAGCATTTGGCCTTAGAAACAGCTCAGCAAATATACAGAGGGAAAAGGGGATGGATGCATTTCAAATATGGGAAGGTGCTTGCATTAGTACTGTTGGATAGAATACCAGAATAGTGTATTTCTGACAGCACAGTCTTGGCTCTGCACTTGGTAGTGAGAATAGGCTACTAACTAGAAAAACAGACTTGGCAGGAATATTTTCTATAATGCATAACTTTGATTGTGATTAGGTTTGCAGTAGCAAAATTATATCTCCAAATAGACAAAATATTTTTGCCAAGTATAATGCTGGTATCTGAGGAATAAAAAATAACATATAGTGTCTGCTTTTCTAGCATTTGCATACTGATGGGAATGACTGAAACACAAAAATTATCCATAAAATGTTACATAAACACAGAGTAAAAGTCAGAAAGCTTTAAGAACTCAGGGATTTCTAGTTAACACAAAATACTAAAGGAACTGAGAATTTGGCTTCAAAATGATACTGAATTAGTTTGTTGAATGCAGACTGTATCTCTAGACTTTCAAGTATATTATGAAACTGAGATAGTAGAGGATTCAAAATTCCAAAATGATTAGAGATTTGCTCTTATGAAACAACTGTTTTTTGAAAATGAACTTGAAAGGAGAATAAAGCCAACCACTGAATTTATTGTAAACATATTCAGTATGGTCAGAAGAAATCAGATATTTACTAAGAGACAACAAAAAATTAAGGATGTTTATTAAGGTGTAATGAAGAGTTAAGTGGTATTTGAAAAAAGTAGTGAACTCTGGAGCTATATGTACACATATCTTCATTTAGGAAAATCAATTGTTGGATTTTTAAAATACTTATTTTAAAGGCAAAATGACAGAGAGAGAGGTAGAAAGATAGATCTTCTATCAGCTGGTTCACTCCCCAAATCCCACAACATGCAGAGCTAGGGCAAACTGAAGCCAGGAGCCAGGAACTCCATTTCAATCTCCCATGTGGGTGGCTGGAACCCAAGTACATGGGTCATCACCAGCTTCCTCCCAATCACATTAGCAGGAAGCTGAATTGAAGTGTGGATTCACCAGGACCAGAACCAGACACTGACATATAGAATGTGGATGTCCCTAACCAGGCTTAACCTGCTGTACCATAGAGTCCATCCCAATTACTGGATCCTTAACATTTGCACACACTATGATACTCAACTAACAGGAAAATCATAGCCAGTATGGGTGTGTAGGACCAAGTGAAGAGTAGAAGATCACAAAACCAGAAAAACTTCTAAAGTGTTGACCTTTATTTGGCAATGAAGCAGTAATTGAAGATAATTTCTGCACTTTTTCTATGTATTAGTAACAGTGATATTTAGGTGGCATCTGACCAACCACTGAGGAAGAGAGACAGACACATACTGTTTTGTCAATTGACATTTGAGAATTTATGAGGGCATTCATTTGGTATGTACTTCATACTCTATGGTAGAGGAGTCTGATTTCGAAGCTATAGCCTCTTCACTTCCCTTCCAGGTGAGCTCACAACCATAAATACCAGGGCTATAGCGTAATAAAAAGTTGAAAACTATTGCAATGACGATTGAGTAGCCTTGCTACTGATTCAAAGGGAATTTGATTAACTTCTACTTGTTGGTTCACTATCATGGATGAATGCATTTTCTCTTTGCCAGAAGAGTCTGTATTTTGAAACACTTCAAAAAAAAGCAGTTTTAAACTTCGGAAGTGCTCCCCATACCTACCTGTTATTTTCTTTGAGTACATCCTGATGGTGATCTTACTTTTAAGTAATAAGAAAACAATGTTTTTTTGTTAATATTTTGTTTCTCACCACGAGTTTAAATGTGATTTTACATGTTAGCTGAAATGAACCATCCGTTCATTTTAAAGTGTGCTCTTTAGATTACTTAACTGTCTGATAGAAATATTTCTCACTGAAAGGTTAATTTTGGAAAGTTCTTTCTGAATGATTATGCCTAGGGAGTGGTGGTTTCCTTTGCACTTGATGGACGCTGCAATCTTGTATGGGTTCAGGATTTATATTCCAGGACTCACAGCTTGCCTCTCAAAACTGTATTCCCTAGCATAGAGTACATGGACTTACATTATCTATTTCTCTTGTAAAACTGCCAGGATTGTTTCAACATGGTTATTCTGCACGAGATATTGACAATTTGATAAAATTAAAATTTTGGCATGGGGTGGCTACGAATTTGAAAGTGAAAACCCATCCTGGATACTTCTTTCTTCGCTGCTTCCAATCAAGAGAGAGGGGGAGAAAGAAGAAGAACGATGCAAATGAGGCAAACAAAGGGGGGGGATGAGATAAGGGAAAAGAACCGGAAAAGTCTTTGCTTTCTCTGATTCCACTGAGAACACTAATTTGCACAGGATTGAAAGGGACATCTTATGTGGACACAATGAGTCTTCAATTCCCTTTTAGAGCCAGAAAGTTTGTGCTTGAATGCTGAGCTCACCCACACAAATGCTACTCCTGCCTCTTTCCTCTCTCCTTGCCTCAGACTTCTTTTACGAAACAAGAGATGAAGCCACAAACCAATGGTACTGCTTGGAATATGCCAAATCCAGTCTCCTATGTAATCTGATTAGGTCAAGGGTAGAGTTAAAATCACTAAGATATTAAACTCCGAGGTATTAAATTTCGTGTGAGATAAAAGAAAAATGTGTAACTTGTTATGAACCAAATTTAAATTTAAGCTTTATTTACCATAGGAATTGGGATAGAGCTGCTATAAAAGCAAAAAATAATTCATTATTATTACACATTGTTCTGCTCTAGTAATTTTTGAAAAAAACATGTATAGTCTTTTATAAATTACATTAGCTTAAAATATTTTTACCGATATAAAGTCATTGTGCTTATGGTAAAATAACACATAGTAGAAGATGAAAAATCCCCTTCCTTCCTACCCTGTCAGCAATAACTCCCAAAATGCCTGCAACAGCCAGAGTTAGGCCAGGCCTAAGCCAAGAGCCAAGAATTCCATCCAGGTCTCCCACAAGTGCTTGGGCCATCATTTGTTGCTAGGCATATTAGCAGGAAGCTGGATTAGAAGCAGAGATAGGACTTGATCCCAGGCACTCTTATATGAAGTACAGGCACCCAAGCAGCAGCATAACCCACTGTGCCACAATGCCTCTCCCTATCACTGTGTATTTCTCTCTGAATTTGTTTCCTGAACCACAGAAGGTCACCTGTTGAGAAGACTAGAAGTTAAAAGTCAGCTAGTATAGTGCTT